AAAAAAAAAAAAAAAAATTCTGATTAAGATTACAAGAGGATTTATTTTAATAAAACTACTGAAATCAGCACAAAATAAGGTTTAAAGAAGCCTCAGCTCCTGAAGTTAGTTGTTAAAAGACTTTAAATATAGAAAACTGGAACAAATTATTTGATTTATTCTAAAAATCCTAAAAGAACTAAATAATTATCTACAACTCATTTGTGCACCTGGAATCTGATTTACTTCCCATGAGTTATAAGTAAAACACATTGAAGTTAAAGTTAAAGTTGAATTACTTTAACCAAAATGTCTGTTTTCCTGAATCGTTATAATGAATCAATCTGACGACGACTTCTCTGTCAGTGTTTGTGAACACAGAGGCACTTTACTGCAGTTTTTAGTTTCTGAAACGATGTGTCTGTGTTTGTCTGTTAGCAAAATATCCCATGATGCACTGACTTTATTGAAACTCGCATTAAGTAATCATTAGATGTACATCTACAACTGAGGAACTCTTGGAGATGACTTGATTCAAGATGGCCGCCGCAGCTAGCCGACATTAGCAAACACAAAAATAACCATAACTCAGTCTGGTTTGCAGATGTTTGGCTAATATTTGGTGTGGGAGTAGTTGAAAGTCATCCCCAACTCTAACACTGACTGCAACAAAATATTTGTTGAAAACTTTGGCATTAACTGTTGAAGTTATCCATTTGTCTGTTGGCAAAATATTCCAGAAAACACTGGCTGGATTTTAATGAAAGTCAGAAAATAATCATGTACAACTACAACTGATTACCTCCTGGAGTCAACCTGATTCAAGATGGCTGCCACAGCCCATCAGTCTTTGGCTCTGTATTTACAGCTTGTGTTCTGAGTGAAGCCACAGCTTTTCTGCTGCAGGTCGTCTGTTCATTTTCACGACACCAGTCTCTCTGAAACCAAAGATTTCTGAATCCAGGTCAGAGTGGAGATTTTTTGGGACCACCCCCCCAAGGTGTGAAAGTGTGAAGTTGAGCATGCGCACTACAGGCGGCTGCAGTCCAAAGTTTTTCTGCACTAACAACAGTTATAATAAATGTCAGAGAGCAGTGTTTTTGTGCTACTCACCATTTTTCCAGTATGTAGGAGAAATACTAATAAAATCCAGGGTCCAAAGAGACGTTGGGTTTTCATCAGTCAGCTGTGATCATGCAGACACTGCATGCACAATGAGGGTTGCCAGATAAATGTATTTACCCCTCCTTTTCTGTGCACGTTCAACAAACACAATACACACCTCATCTCAGGGTATCTTTACTCAGCACATATGACAGTTTGGGTGAAAATACTTTCACTTTAAAGCCACAGTATTACAGTTCATAATTTCTTATCTGGCAACCTGACTGCATGGAAACGACAGGGCTTTTGTGTAAACCCTCTCTTGTTTTTTGTTTGTTTGTTTGTTTTATTACATAACCATTGAAAAAACACTAAAGTTTCCAGAGGTCGTTCTCGTGTAAACAGGGCCTTAACATCAAACCTAAAAATGTCTTTAACTCAGTCACTTCTACGTATATAGAGTCATAATCTGTTGTGGTAGCAGCTGAGAGTCATCTCCAACACATATTCTGAGTGCTAACAGATCATATGAGCTCTTTGTTTCAAAATATGTCATGCAAGACAACGGGCGATGTGCATTCCTTCATGAAAGGTTATTTATTGTTTTAGTTTTTACAAAACCATTAAACTTACAGATAAACGGTGAAAAAGGATCTCAGTTCCGTACAGAATAATCTCACTGTTGAACTTGTCAAATTTGTAAAAAAAAAAAAAAAAAAGATCTCCACCGCTGGCTCCTCCACCATGAGCAACACGATGAAGGGTTCTGCTGTGGGGTGCTGTTTGTAAAGTCACAGTCAAAAATTAAAAGCAATATTTTGGTTTATTTAGCCTTTCATAACAAAAAAAAATTTTTTTTTCTTTTTCAAAGTCACATTTTCACCAAGTTATTCATACTTTTATAAATGTCATAGTTCCAAATTAAATATTTAATTTACAAGCTAAATATTTAGTTAGCAAACCAAATACTTAACTTGCAAGTTAAATATTTAGTTAGTAAACTAAATATTTAGGTGTAAATTAAATATTTAATTTCCAAGCTAAATATTTATTTTCAAAACTAAACATTTAATTTACAAACTAAATATTTAGGTCCAAGCTAAATATTTAGTTAGCAAATGAAATAATTATTTTGGATATTAAATATTTAGCTTGGAAAACAAATATTTAGGTTTGAGCTCATTGGCAAATTAAATATTTAGATTAGGAATTACATGTTTAGCTTAGAAATTAAATGTTTAGTTTGGAAATTAAATATTTAGCTTGGACAATAAATATTTGGTTGGGAATTTAAATGTTTAGTTTTGAAAATAAATATTTAGCATGGAAATTAAATCTTTAATTTACACCTAAATATTTAGTTTACTAACTAAATATTTAACTTGCAAGTTAAGTATTTAGTTTGTAAATTAAATATTTAGTTTGGAACTATGACTTTTATAAATGTATCAATAACATGGTGAAAATATGACTTTGAAATTTTAAATTTATTTTTCTTATGAAAGGCTAAATAAACCAAAATATTGCTGTTAATTTTTGGCTGTGTAACTTTACAAACGGCACCCAATATCTGCAGAGTCTGACAAATAATGACAATAAAATAATATTAATATTAATAACAATAATACTCCTGTTTGACGCCTGCAGGACATCTTCATAAACCTGAACACAGGTGGTGTTTCTCCGTAGAAACTGGAGTTTTCCTCCCAGCAGGGATAATCTGCATTATTTGAGCTGTTAGCAGCAGCAGTAATCTGCCTCTCACAGACACGAGTGATTCGGCGTGGGCTCGTGATCTTCTGTCTCTGTTGCCTGTGACTCCGTCCTCGTGCCACCTCCACACGCTCCATATGGGACTGGGATTAGAATAGCACATAATCCTGGTGCTGGAGGAGAGAATTAGCAAACCCAGAGCTGCAGCT